GCAAGAGAACTTGGTGGAACTAATGGGATAAGGTTGCAGTAGTTATTAGGCTACACTTTGTTGTTTCTAGTTGTGACTATCATAGCTATAAATAAAGTTGCACTGATTATAAATTGATTATCATGTATTTCTTTGACAGGTGTTCTATGGCTTATTAGCCCGCCCTTTAACTTAGGATGAATATTGATGTCATGACACTGTGTTTCTTTTTGTCAAATTCTCGATAGTCAACAACGTAAATAAAAGTGACTTCTTGTGATCAAACCTCAAAGCAGTGGTTACGAAGTCTTTATGTGCAGTGGCATACCCAATATTGAAGCTCGACTCAAACAAACGTTGACCGGTCAACGTCGACAATCAGCGAGCATAAGAGCAAGATAGTTTATTATGATAGTTTTACATATTTGAATGTCGTGTCATTATATTTTGTTGGTAATGTAGAAGTAAAAAGTGCCAACATTCATAAATGCAACTCCAAATCCAATTTTCCAATTCCCCCAATTTCAAATTCAATTCCAAATCCAATTCCAAATTTCTAATTTTCCCAATTCCAATCATAAATCACACATGAAAGTTGAAACAGCACTGAAAACTATCATAAATCATGATTTCATAACTCATAAATAGATAATAACACCAAAAAATAAAAAACAAACAAAAAAAATTATGGGTAGGCAGAAATGAGAAAACTCACGGCGTTGCGATCACAAACAGTAGCGAAGCTGTAGTCGTTCACTCTGGAAGTTGGTGGACGGTGGTGGTGAGGATTCACTGGTAGGTGGACCAGAGAAGACGACCGGACAGTGTGGCGGAACTCAGCAGGATCAGAGGAACTCCAAATCGTGTTGAGCCTTCAAGTTGAAGAAGGAAATGATTTTTCTTTTTATATCATCTAACTAACGCCCTATAGTTTTAATCTATTTTGTGTTGGTATTCTCTCTTTGTACTTTTCAGATATTTATGCATGATTATGACATGGTAAAGTAACAAAATTGTTGCAATGATAAATCTCTACATGGATTGTCAAGAT